TATTACATGTAGGATAAATCTTGTCAAGTCTATGGTTTACAATCCATTAGATATAAGAAAACTTGTTAAGGCTATGGCTCACTACCCATTATATGTAACATACTTGTCAAGACAATAGCTTACTATCCATTAGACATAGGAAAATTCTCCTGGTTTTGGCTTACTATCCTTTAGATGCAGGTAAAATGTCTTGTATTTGACTCAATATCCTTCAGATGTAGAAAAACTCTGTCAAGGCTATGGTTTACTCCCTATTAAATGTAGGAAAACTCTTGTCAAAGCTATGGCTTATTTCCCATTAGATATAAGAAAACTCATCAAGGCTACGGCTCACTACCCACTAGATTTGGTAGTCTTTTAAAAGCTATGGCTTATCACCCATAAGATGTAGGAAAATTTTTGTCAAAGCTATGGCTTACTTCTCATTAAACCTACAAAATATCTTGTCAAGGTTACAGGTTACCACACATTAGATGTAGGAAAAGTGGTTAGGGCTATGGCTCGCTACCCACCAGAAAAAGGAAAATTATTGTCCAGGTTATGACTCACTATATGTATGAAAACTCTTATCAAGGCTTTGGCACACTATACATTAAATGTAGGAGAAATATTTGCTTTTGGCCTACTACCCGTTATATGTAGGAAAACTTTTGTTATGTCTATGGCTTACTACTCATCAAATGTAGGAAATATCTTGTCAAAGCTATGGTTTACTACTGTTAAGAAGTAAGAGAACTGTCTTGGTTTTGGCTTGCTACAAATTAGAATGTTCTGCATTAGCTTTGCTCCACTCACTATACATTAGATATAAGAAAATTATTGTCATTTCTAGGGCTTACTACTCATTATATGTACAAAAATCTTGTCAAGGCTATGGTTTACTATCCATTGGATGTAAGAGTACTGTCTTGGTTTTGCTTTATTACTCATTAGAAAGCTCTGCCTTGGTTTTGCCTCACTACACATTAGATGTCAGAAAGTTTTGTCTTTGTTCTGCCTCAATTACCTAAGAAACATCAGAAAGCTCCATCTTTGTTTTTCCCTCACTACCCCTGAGATGTCAGAAAGCTCTGTCTTGGTTTTAGCTCACTACATATTAGGTGAAAAAAAAACTCAATTTTAGCTCACTTTTGTAAGATGTAGAAAAAACTCATTTCTGAGTTTTGCCTCACTATCCATGACACGTAGAAAAACTTGTCTCAATTTTGACTTCCTACCCATTATATATAGGAAAAGTCTTCTCTCATACTTAACTCACTATCCTTACACATACAAAAACTTCTTGTCTGAGTTTTGGTTCATTATCCATTAGATGTAGGAAAAACTTATCTCAATTTTGGCTTACAGTTCACTAAATGCAGAAAGACTTGAAAAAGTATGGTTCACTATCTATTAGATGTAGGAAACTTTTTTTCTTGGTTTGGGCTCACTATGCATCAGATGTTTCAGTTTTGACTTACTACCAATGAGGTGAAGGAAAGATGTCTTGGTTTTGTCTCACTATCCATTAATGTAAGAAAACTGATTGTGGCTCACTATAGATTATATGTAGGAAACTCTTGTCAAGGCTATGGCTTACCATCCATTAAGCATAAAAAAACTCTTGTTAGGACCATAGCTCACTAACCACTAAAAGAAGGAAAATGCTTGTTAAAATTATGGCTCAATACCCATTAAACAATTCATAACTTTTCAAGGCTATGACTTGCTATAAATTAGATGTAGGAGAACTGTCTTGGTTTTGACTTATTACCCATTAAATGTATGAACACCATCTTGGTTTTGGTTCACTACCAATTACATATAGATAAAATACTGCTAAGTGTATGGCTTACCACACATTAGATGTAAGAAATCTCTTGTCAAGACTATGGCTTACTATTCATTATTTGTAAGAAAAATGTATTGGTGTTGACTTGCTACCCTTTAAATGTAGGAGTACTGTCTTGGTTTTTGTTCAATACCCATTAGATGTAGGAAAAATTATGTCAAGTATATGACTCACTGTCAATTATTTGTATAAAAACACTGGCTTACTTATCCATAAATGTAGGAAGACTGTCCTGGTTTTGGTTCATAAAGGAAAACTCTTGTCAAGGCTATTGCTCAATGCCCACTACATAAAGAAAAAACTTGTCGAGAATATGGTTCACTGTCCATTAGATGCAAGAGAATTGTCTTGGTTTTGGCTTGCTGCCCATTAAATGTAGAACTACCATCTTGGTTTTCATTTGCTACTCATTAGATGTAGAAAAACTACTCTCATGGTTATGACACACTATCCATTAGATGTAGAAAACTTGTCCATTAGATATAGGAAAAATGTCTTGGTTTTTGGCTCAATAAACATTAGATGTAGGAAATTGTATGTTGAGACTAAGCCCTACTATGCATTAGATGTAGAACTGCCTTTGTTTTGGCTCAGTATACATTAGGTGTAGGAAAACTTGTCGAGGCTAGGCCTAACTATACAACACGTGGAAAACTCTTTCAAAGCTATGGCTCACCTCCCACTGGATGTAAGAAGAGTTTTGTTATGGCTATAGATTACTATACATTAGATGCAAGAAGACTCTGATCTGTACTATGGCTCACCCCCCCACTAGATGTAAGAAAATTCTTGTCAAGTTTATAGCTCATTACCCATTAGATGTAGAAAAAGTATTGTGAAGCCTATGTTTTATTTCAGTTTTGGCTTACTACCCAGTAGAAGTATGAAAACTGTCTTGTTTTTGGTTTGCTACCCAATAATTGTAGGAGTAACAATTTGGTTTATGTTCTCTACCTATTAGATGTAAGAAAAGTGTTGTCACAGTTATGGCTTACTATCTATTAAACTTAGGAAAATCTTTTCTCAGTATTGACTTATCTGTTCAATGTAAATAGACAAAACAACTCCTGTCTCAGTTTTGGCTTACTATCCAGTATGTGTAGGAAAACTCTTGTCAAGGTTATGGCTTCCCATCCACTACATGTAGGAGAACTGTGTTGGTTTTGGCTCAGTACTCAATACATACAATTTTATTTCTGATCAATTACCTCACAGATCTTAACATACAATGTGATGTATAAGTCATATACTACCATCATATTTCTATTTGCCAATCTTATAATTTTTCTAAGTCATTTTCTATTGCACTCTGTTCATTTTTTTGTTACAGTATTTGATTAGGATGTCTTTAACCTAACAAGAGCATGTGGAAGTGATCATGTTTTGTGATATTATGACATGGTATCAAAGGTGCACTTTTTGAACATTTGTAAGGGCAGGTATCATAATAGTGCAAAAGCTTTGCATTGCACTGTAGACTGCTCGTTAGTCTTAACATGTAGAGTTTTTGATAGTTAAAATTTAAATCATCACTGTTTTTTAATTGGGAGTTTAAAATTTTTTCTGTACACATTGAATAAATTATTTTCTTTAAACTTATATTGTGCCAAAGACTAGGATAAAAGAATACATAAATCCACTCTCACATACACATTTAATATACAATAACTTGTAAGCAAAACCTGCACACAAATCCACTCTCACATACACATTTAATATACAATAACTTGTAAGCAAAACCTGCACATAAATCCACTCTCACATACACATTCAATATACAATAACTTTTAAGCAAAACCTGCTTTTAAATAACAAAAAAAATGGACTAGTAATACAATTGTTAAATCAGTCACATCATACATTTTTGTAACCTAATGAATCAGCCATAATTCATTACATAATAATCTTATCTGAACTGTTTAGAAAGGTCAACACTCACCGTATCTGGTCCCTATATCATCTTTGAACAATATCAAAACTTCACAGCACACACATATATATACTTCTTGGAGGCTTCTTGTACCTTTCTTTTAATACTACTTGATTAAAAACTCACCTCTGCACAATCTTCTTTCTTTCTCAAGTACAGAACAACATTTTGAATATTGTTATATCTCCTTCAAAATTATACTGAAACACTCATAATATAAGGAGTCTTTAGAATAAAAAAAATATATCTGTCACTATACATAAAGTTAAATAATTTTTAATATTAGAGAAACAAAACTTTGTGTGTACATTTTTTTGGTATCAATAATTTTCATCTTAATTAAATATTTCTCTTATTTAAAACATACATATATAGTTCCTTCAAGAATTACATTATTTTTTCTACAAATAAATCAAAACTCTGTCAAATATACCTTTCTTCAAACATTTTACTCTATAACAAATAAACATAATCAGTTTATTCACTACTTATTTACCACTATACCTAAATAACCAAATATTTCTAAAATATCCACTAGCACCCTTTCCACACACACTAATTTCTTCATAAAACCACACTATCAAGAAGTCATATATTCAAAGCTTAAAATATGAATTTACAAATGTAGAATCTGCATCCATTGATTCTGTAGTCATGCTGTTAGATCAGGTAATAAAATAAATGATTAGTAAAAAACACAACTCTTGCTCCAGGAATCAAGCATACTTTATTTTGTAATGATGATATATGTTGATAAACAGAAACTTACAGAGTACAGATGTACATGCTTATTTATTTACATATGTACAGTGTAACCTGCTTACAGACCAATGCATAGTTAGCAGTTAGTAAACACAAGTCATCATCACTTGGCTGACTTCTCACATATACAGCTTTAGTATTTACATCCAAGTGGTAAGTACAGGCATAGGAGACCAGCTTCCTTCACTTGTAAGCAGCTTCTCATACTTAATCTCATGATATTAATGTCACTATTTACACATAACTCTATATGATTAGGAAATAGTGTTTCAACAACCACTGCGACAGAAAGAGGAAAAAGCTTTGACCAGCATTACTTATAGTTCTGTCGATAACATGAGAAGTGAATAAGTTCATTGACTTTCAAGAGAAAAACAGATTCTGAATAAAGGACACCAAGAGATAAAGATGGAAGATAAAAGACTACTTTGGTGAAACAGAAGAGTCAGACAACTCAAAGACCGAGCTGGGCCTTACCGCACGTGAAGAAGAGGTTTCTGACCATCTTCTGTTTACTCCACTGTCTTTGTTTGGGTCTAATTCTGTTCTGGGTTCACAGGAGCGACTGGCCGTGGCTGAATCCAAGCTCTGGCTCGTGCAGAGTGAGCTAGCCACAGCACTGCTAGCCATCAAGTCAGATTTTGATTTGGGACGAAGGGTGTTGCGAAACCCTTCAAAAAAGTTGCGTTTACCCTTTGGAGGGCTTTGTTGTGGGGCATTTGATTGTTTTTCTAGTGGGAATGAATGCTTACACTGACTCTCCAGCCATACCAAACCTTGCTTCCCTTCTATGGGAATTGCAGAGCTTGGTGGAGAGATAGGAATGGGTGCAACAGAAACACAATCTTGATTCACATCACCTGAAGCTCCACTTACTGTGATTCGTCTCAGCTCAGTAGGTGTGACCTCACCAGATCTGCTCTTCTTCTCCCGTCCTGGTTGTCGCAAAGACTTAGTGCTAACTCCCTCTGAATTGGAGCCTTTGGAAATTTTATGGGAAGTGGGTGGGTGGGACAAAGTTTTCCTTAAAGTTGGATTCCACAAAGACCCTAGCTCTGGGGCTGATCTGTAGATAGAAAGCCATTTCAGTAAATTCATGTATTTCTTGATTATTACAACTAAAAAGTAAATCATTCTTTATTACCATCATTCAACTCAAAATGTCATGGCAAAAAAATATGCATATTTGCCACATTGCAGTTAAGTAACAAGAAAGCCTTAACAAAATTGTCCAAATTGTGTAATGTATAGCTCAGTATAGAAATACAATGTTAAAATACTACTAACCACATTTTCTGTGTGAAAAGATCATGTTAAGTAGTTAAGTATTCAAAGATGACAGGTAAAATTAAATTTTTTCAAATGTTTTACAAGTACAACAAAAATGTAGTTACTCACAAAGAATGAGAATATCTAATCAAAATATAATTAAAATTAGTTTAAAAGAATGAAGAATAACTAACTAAAAGAACCATTTAACAAAATATAGTTAAATAACCAGTGGCCAAACTGATATGCAGCATTATCAATAATACTGATATGTTAATTTAAAAAAAAACCTTTTTCAATAATATATCAGACAGATGGTAGCACTGCCTATGCAGGAATGGCTCGGATTGTTCATCAAAATGGTATTTTAAATATCTCCTCAATATGTCATCAGAACTTTACAATACTATACAGTGTTTCCGTTTATAACGATATCTGTAAAGACTGAATCACAAGTTCTGGGAATGTCAGTAAATATCATAGCAAAAAAAAAGTTTGAATTTCTTGTTCTTCTTTCTTCTGCTTCTTTTTATTATTTCATGATAACTCAAAAACCAAAACAATGTTGTCAATAACTTCACTGAGGTGACAGTTTCAAACAGACTATCCACTTTTACAAATATTATTAATAAATAATAGTAAGTAAAGAAAGATCATAATTATAGTGTAAACAATGCTATCATTACCCCTTAAAATTAGCTTTCTTACAGAAATTTGATGTTCCTTAAGTACAGGGTGAAGCAGAAACTACCAGTCAATAATAGATAAACTATAAATATTACATTTAGAACCTCAATGTATTTAGAACTTGAGTTATAAATATAACCTTCCTATGTCTATTGAAACAGTGCATTAAAAACAAGCAAACAAGTAAATAAAAAACTTTCCAAAAAAAGGAAATAAATGTAGGGATGGCTAATATCAAATCCTTCACAAAAAATGCAAACAAGAAAGTGATGATGGCATTTGCATCATCCCTACATAATAGCACAGGCTAGAAGTAACATAGTGATATATATAAAAAACTATTCAATCACAATTGAATTGAATTTACCCTATTTGTGTGTGTTAACAATTTACTACACCATGTGCCATCTCTACTACCTTGTTTGTATTCTTTGTGAAGGATTTTGATATTAGCCATCACTACACTTACTTCCTTTTTTGAAAAGTTTTTTCTTGTATAAAATTGGTTAATAACACTGATACACATCAGTTAATCAAGAGCATTTATGTATTTACTAATATAATCAGTTGATTAACAACTACCAGATAATTACAGAGATATATATATGCTGACAGCAACAATGATATACAATAAATCAATTACGTTAAAATGTACTGGTTAACCAATAACACTTGATTATTTACTGACACATACCTTTTGGTTAACGACACTAATGTAAGGTCAGAATAAGCCTATACCCCATGGGCTAATGTATTTTTAAGAGCTCATACATGGAACTTTAAGAACCCATACATGGAATTTTATGTATTTTTCAAACATTTTCAAGATTGATGAGGTCCCCAAAGGCTTTGAGGTTCTGAAGTTACAGCTCCATCAGCCCTTGCAATAATCCAGCATTGCACTGACTTATTTACTGATGCACATTTGTAGGCTAATGATACCAATACATTTACTGATACACTTCTGGTGGTTAATGACACTGATCTATTTACTGATACACTTCTGGTGGTTAATGACACTGATCTATTTA